TCCTCAAGGTTCCTCAGTTGTTCCTCACTCCACTCTCTTCATCAAACCTCATCACTCAGATCAGTGCTTTCCAAATGAAAGATTTCAACCCAGTAAGTTATGATGTCAACTTAATGGGCTGTCCCCAAAATTTAAAAAAAAAAAAAAAAAATACAACAGAAAATATTAGTGTTCATTTCTCACAGTAAGGCCAAGTACTGTTTCATCAAATATCTGGTTTAGTTGTAGGTGTATGTGAGTGTGCTCTAGATCCCAGAGAATAACAGAGTTCTTCCTGTGGACCACACCATAAACGTTTGTAAAACACTGATTGAGATGACTGGTGGCTCCAAAATCTGCATTGCTAGCCTGGCTCATCTCAACTCTTGCAGTTTTGAAGCCTCCTTCCAAACTAGCGGCTGGACAGTCCACACGGGGAGCCTTCCTGTCTCTGAGCAGATCCAAACTCAAACTTGGTGCCTCTTTCCTCCAGAAATGTTCCTTTCTCACATGCCCCATCCTTTTTTCTTCATCTTCTGGTCCTGTCTGCCTCCCCCTGCCCCAGAGCCACACGCTCTAATACTCCAGCTATACAGAACTACTCAACACTCCCCTGTACTTTCCAATCTTTGTTCAAGCTGTGTTTTATCCCTCTTCTTTCCTCCTCCACCGATGCCTATATCTCATTTCCTTTCCTTTAAGACTCCCTTCAATTGCTTCCATGTACCCTGAAGCCATCTTATTTCATCACCCCCTCATCCTTAGAGTCCCTTGTCCACACCTCCAGGTGTGGCTTATATATGAGTTGGGTGCCTTTCTGCCTTCCCCACTAAGCTGCAAGTTCCCCAGGGACTCTGGGACTGCGTCTGTCTTGACATTGTACCTTCAGTCCTTCACGTGGTACTCAGCACGGAGTAAATCTTCCTGAAGTTCTTGTTCAATTAGGAACAGACAAGAGGAAGCCAGGAACATCAAGGACAAATAGCACAGGTTTGTTCTTGCCTCTTCCTCCTAATCCACATGATGCATGCTCTCTCCAGTAGAGATACCGAGCCCACATCCACACTCCCCACCTTCTCCCTTCCTGACCAGTGGAAGGGTTTGCAAGATGGGCTCAGAGTTCTGACTGCTTCCAGGAGGCCTTCCCAAAAGTGGCACAACAAAGGGAGAGGCCAAGGTCCAAAGAAACAGACACACACTGAACTATAACCCCCAATTCCTTCTGGTGTGAACTGTCCCTAAATTTGCACTGGAAGAGCCTGCCATTCTGGTCTCTCAAGCTCTTTGTGAGATGGTAAACAAGGGTGGACGTGCCGAACACATTAAACTAGCTCAGCACAGAAGCAGAGAACAGCAGCCTTCAGGAATCTCTTAGCCCCACAGTGGATTCCCATGCCAGGTTCGCCTCACCTCTGGCTGGACTACGACAACAGCCTTCCAGCCGCTCCCTGTCTCTAGCGCTCCCCATACAGGATCCAGATAACTTTCCTTATGACTGGCTTTTGTCATGGCACTACCTTGCTCAAGGATCAAATGTAGGTCCCATTGGCCTAATATACCCAGTTCAAACTGCTCTTCCCAACTTTCAAGGCACTTCATGGAAACTACTAATCCAACTGATACCAAGTGGAGCCTTTCTTAACCATGTCTCTTCCAATTCTTACCTCTACACAACATGTACACACATACACACACAGCAGCCTCAGTCATTCATTCAGTAGCCAACATTTACCGGGAGCTTCCTATATGCCAAGTGCCATATGTGGTGCTCAGCATGCAGGCGGAACAAACCGAGCAAATCCCTCCCTTGCAGAACCTTCAGTCTAGAGCAGGTTCTCTCAACGTCAGTGCCATAAACATGTCGGGCTGCATAATTCTTCGTTGTGGGGGGAGATCAGTGCATAGTGGGACATTTAGCAGTATCTCTGGCCTCTACCCACTAGATGCCAGGAGTACTCCCATTCTCCAGATATGACAACCGAAAATATCTGCAAAAAAGTGTCTCCAGACATTGCCAAGAGAGCAAAATTGCCCTCAATTGAAAATCACTGATCTAGAACAGCAGCTCTTAAACTTATTAGATAGTTAGAAGTCACCTGGGGAGTTTGTTAAAAAGACAGGTTACTGGATCCCATCCTGGGAAAGTCAGATTCAAGGCCCCTGGAATATTTATTGTTAGCGGTCCTCCAGGGGACTGTGATGCAGGCAGTCCCCAGACCTCTGCTTGAGAATTACTCATCCACCTAGTGTTTTTAGATAGGAGGCAGACCAATAATCACACACAAGCAGGGCTTCGAACCAGTTCAAACCGGTTCGGTCATGGCCAAAGCAGCAAAATCAGAACAGACCTGAATTTGTAAAGTACAGGTGTGTCAGGATGATAACCAGAACAGGAACTTATGGGTAGAGGTCTGGAAAGGGAGACTCAGAAGAGGCTCAGAGAGCCCTCTCGGGAGACTGAGGCAAAAGGCTGGATTACTGCCAGGACGGTGGAGTGCCACACATGCTCAAAGCAGTTCAGTCAGCCACCATCTTCAAGCTGGCCACTGTTGTTTCCAACTCTGCCAATCAAGAGATCTGGCTGCTATGCAATGTGCACACTGCCCTTGTTTTCTAGGAAAGAGGTTAAGTTGCCAGCAGGTGTCAACCCATAATTTTTCCTGTTCCAGTTATCATTCTGATACATCTACATTTTACAAATTTGGGTCCACTCCAGTTTTGCTTCGTCGGCCGTGACTGAATAGGGAAGAACCGGTTCAAAGCTTACATACATGTCAGCTTATGGTAATTATGATATGTGCAGGAAGCAAGACCAGTGAGCAGGTGCAATAGGTCCACAGGTGAGACAGCTACAACCTGGTGTGGGGTCTGGGAGGCCTCCCTGAAGAACCAATGATTAAGTCAAGTGCTGCAGGTTGGGTGAGCAGGGGTCAGGCTGTGGGGAGGTGAGATACACCTGTACCTCTGCACCTCTACTACCATGGTCTTTGGTTCTGTATGTGCACTTGCCCTCCACCTATCCACATCTTATATGCTTCAGAGTCCTAGTCAAGTTCCACCTCCTCCAGGCAGTCATCCCTACCTACTCCAGCCCATTGGTGTCTCCCTTCCTTATGCCTCCTCAGGCTGGTTAACACTTCCTGTCGCATCTGTGACTTCAAGCCCCTGTACACAAGGACCACACCATCTTCTGTAGAGTCCCCACAGCAACCTTCCAGGATGGGCAATATCCAAGTTCTGCTTGACTGGATCAACCCAAGTCCCTGGAGTGAGGCCTGCAAGAGCCATTGGTACAATTTAGGGGGTCAGGGTTTCTGTGGGAGGGAGGATAAGAACTGGACTGGTATGGCCACTGAATTCCAGGCAGCTAGCCCTTCCACCCAAGATCAGGGAGACTTTGCCAGGGTAAGCTGTCAGTGTCTGAGTCGGCTTTTGTCCTGGGCACTGATAATCTCCCCTGTTGACAAGACAGAAGGGGCTCTGGCAGCCCCAGCAGCTCGGGGTAGGTGCCAGTAGGAGGCAGGTACCCAGAGCCACCCCGCTGAGGAGCAAGTACCAAGACAGCAGCAGGCCAGCCGCCCGCAGGGCTGCAGCAGGCCACACGGGGCCCAGCTGTCCTTGTACAGGGTCATCTCTAGGGGTGGCAGGAACCAAAATAGGAGCCAGGTCCAAACAGATGGGATAAGCCAGGAGATTGTGAAAATGTCCTGTAACGCCACTAACATCATGCAGAGCCAACAGCCCTCAGCAGTGGAAGAACCCTCTTTGGGAAGGTCAGGAACAGTGAGTGGCTAGAAACACATGCCTGGGACAACCATCCTCATGCTCCAGGGCTCTGGAAGGAGTTACCTGCAGGTGGAACTAGCCTAACTGCTCAATGTCCTACTAAGAACTAGGCAGCGAGCACCCATTCTCATCCTCCCACTCCTCAGTGCAGCCCAGATTGGAGGCCCAAGTGACTGATGTGGACCCTCGAGGATGAAAAGGGAACAACTTTTATTCTGTAGAAGCTGGGAGAAGATGGGGTGCTTCCAGAGCCAGAGAGGCTTTTTCACTTGATTCCTATCAGCCTAGGGGGAGGAGTGGTGAGCGAGCGTAGGGAGATGTTGGCGCCAAAGCAGAGACCTCCAGCAGAGGAGGGGGAGGTCTTTCCAAGAGAGGCAGGCCCCCTCCACCTGCCACACCCGGCAGGGTGACCCAAAGCATCTCCCCTCAGCCCGCAGAGCTGATAAGCATGCAGTTGGCACACCGGCGTATTTTCCGTGCACACGGGGACTGAGGCTGCGGCTGAGTTTTTGAGTGACGCCTCCTACCGGTCTTTCTCTTAATGGAGTTTTCCCATGATGAGCAGGGGAGCCTACCAGGAAAGGAGGGACCCACCACGGGGAGGGCTAAGTTCTACCGCAGCTCAGCTCTGACCTTCCGGGCTAACGAGGAGAACCGTTTGCCTCAGCAGGGAGCAGGTTGTGGGCCTCACAGACCCAGACGGCTATGGGATTATAAGAATTCACGATCCATGTCGCATCTCCCAAGCCCACTACCACCCCCACCTCACCCGACACTCCTGCGGGGTAAGGGAGCTTTTTCCTTAAGGGTTCCCACAAAAATTAAGGACTCGCACGGTGATTTTACCGGCTTTGGAGTCCTCCACATCCGGCAGTCCCCATCTACCGAATGGTCGTGGCACTCTAGGTTTCCGGGACCTCGATCTGACCGCCGCGGCCCCTCCTGGCATTCACAGGATTTATCGTCAGTTTGGCTGCTCCGAATTCCAACCTGACCCCGGTTTTCACAGCGTAACAAAGTTGTCAGGCCCCTCTGGCGGGCGCTGGGCTGACGCTCTCTGGCTTGAAACTAAATGCGCTTCAGGGCGCCGTGACCCAAGCCTGACGCGGCGGTCCTCGGGACCAAGTGCAGACTCCACGGCTACTCCCCCACCCACCCACCGCCGACGCGGCGGCCGCCAGCGGGGCACTCGCCCGCGTACCCCGCGCACTCGCATCCAGCTCGGACTTTCTCACCTCTTGATGTAGTTCCTGCCGTACAGGATCTGTTGCAGCAAGGTCACCAACGCGAAAGCGCAAATGAAGATGAAGAGCAAAGTTCGGTTCCCCAGCAGATCCCGGTTGGCGGAGGGGTCGGCGTAACGCATCCTGGCGGCGGCGCGCGCGCGCGGCCGGGCGCAGCGGGCGCCGGGCACAGATGGGCTCGGCAGTCACGCGCGGGACTCGGGGGCCCCATAGGGCGCGCGTCCGAGCCAGCGCCTCATGGCGCCGCCAGGCGGCTGGGAGACTTGGCGGGGCAAGTTTCCGGCTGGTGCGGCCGGACCCGGGGCATTCGAGCGTCCCAGCGGAGCCGGCGAGGAGAGCAGAGCCGGCACCGGTAGCTCGGCCGCGGCCGGGCCTTCCCTCCGGATGCCTCGCTTCCGAGTGCCCGGGCCGGCAGCCGCC